TTTCTTTCTTTCTTTCTTTCTTTCTTTCTTTCTTTCTTTCTTTCTTTTTCTTTTTCTCTCTCTCTTTCTTTCTCTCTCCCTTTCTTTCTCTCTTTCTTTTTCTTCTTTCTTTCTCTCTTTCTTTTCTTTCTTTCTTCCTTGGATTTATTTATTATTTAGACAGTATTCTGCCTGCATGTACACCTGCATGGCAGAAGGGGGCACCAGATCTCACTACAGATGGTTATGAGCCACCATGTGGTTGCTGGGAATTGAACTCAGGACCTTTGGAGCCTCTGAGCCTCTGAGCCATCTCTCCAGCCCCCCTCCTTTCTTTTTCTCTTTTGGTTTTTCGAGACAGGGTTTCTCTGTGTAGCCTTGGCTGTCCTGGACTCACTTTGTAGACCAGGCTCGCCTTGAACTCAGTGATCTGCATGCCTCTGCCTCCCAGAATGCTCGGATTCCAGGTGTGAGCCACCATGCCTGGCTTAAGGGGTTCCTTTCTACTTTCTGTATCCTGTCATAAAATGCCAGGATAGTGAGACCCCTCATCTGGTCCAGGTATTCCATACTCAAATCCCAATGTCAAACCCTGCTTTGAGCTGGCCACACCAGCCTTGGGTGGCAGCCTAGGGGCTGCCCTAGCAGATAGCATGTATGTAGCTCCACCCTTCACACCCAGGTGTGGGACCTCTGCCCATCCCTCCCTCTTGATCTGATGCTCAGGGGAACTCTTTTGAGTTTCTTGGGGAGGCCCCTAAGTGGCCCATGGAAAGGGTCAGGAGATTCTGCTAGAAGGAGAAAAGCAGGGAGATGGAGCTTCAGCGTTCTGCTATACCCAGAACATGACGGGCTTTCATGGCTGTGGCCCGCTCTTGCTTCCCTGGCAGCTCCTTCCAGGGAGCCATCATGTTCCTCGTTCTGTTTACAGGAAATCAAAAGAACCCAACTTCTAAACCTGGGAAGGACTGTGCCTCAGAGGAAGACCATGTGCCCCTCCAGGTCCTCCAGTCCCCCTGATGGCCGAGACAGCAGGCTGGTGGGGGATGGCAGGGAATCGTTCCAGCCATGCCCGAAGCTACTGAATTTTGGTGGAAATATATTTTTTTGCATAACTAAGTCTTCTAGTTGTATTATTTGAAAAAGTTACTGGGACCTTGCATCTGGTAATATTTGCATGTGTCTCTAGGTGCCAACCTTGGTCAGGGGCTAGTCTGCTTAGAAACAAACCCTCACTGGCCATGCCTCAGCTCCAGCCCACTTGGCAGGCTTAAGGATTAGGGGCAGCTCGAGGGTCGGGTACACATGAGCCACCTTCCCACCTCTCTGATGACAGTCCTTTAAGCTCTGGATTATTGCCAGCAATGGCTGGCTATTCAGAGAAACCCTGTCTCAACAACAACAACCAAATCAAATCAAACCAAACCAAACCAAACCAAACCACTTCCAAAGTGGAACATGGTATTTGGGGAAACTTGAATCTGTGTTTCTGGCCATGGTCACCCATATTTGGTTCTAAAATAAACGATCTTATTTCCTTTAAGAATGTTTGTGTGTCAGGAGTGGTGGCATACGCATGTGGTCCCAGCCCTTGGGGGGGGCAGTGGCAGGAGGATCTCTGTGAGTTCAAGGCCAGCCAGGCAAGTCCTTGGCAAGTCCAGGACAGCCAAGGTTACACAGAAAAACCCTGTCTCAAACAAAACAAAACACAAAACCCAAAAAAGAAAGGGGAGGGGGGAGAGGGGATGGAGAAGAGGAAGAATCCCAAGTTTATTTTTTTGGACCACCTTTCTAGTCCGTCAAAATGAGTTGTTTCGTCAGTACATTTGCATATAAAATGCAGGTGTCACTGGACAGAACCCAGCATATCATATATAATAATAGCTCTATCAGACTTTGCATTGAGGTGTCTTGGGACATGATTTCATTCTGTAGGCCGAAATGGACTTGAAATCAGAGAACCCCACGCTAGCCTCACCCTCAAACTCTCTACGTGGCTGATGATGACCTTCAACTTGTGATTCTGCTGCCTCCACATCCCCAGAGCTTGGAAGTTTGACGCAATGCCCAGATTGAGGTGCTGGGGACCGAACTCAGAACTTCATGTTTGCTAGGGAAACACTCTACTGAGCTGTATTCCCAACCCTTAAGAGAAACCCAAACATGCCCATGTACTGAAGGGATAGCATTAGCAGTTCCTATTGTCCAGGAAAAAAGCCCGGTGCAAAAAAAAAAAAAAATCTCGAGGCCTAAGTGGAAAGGGCAGGGGGCAAGCGAAATAAATAGATCAAACAAGAGCTCCTCTGGATTCGAACGAATGAGGGCTTGTCTGCGCCGGGTCTGGAAAAGTTCCGCGGACATGCTGAAACATGGTGCAGAACGACCCGAATCATTACATTCAGCTACTATCTACTATTTCCTTTTCTCTCTGGATGCAGTTTCGGGTGTGTTAACTCAGGTGAGCCTCAGAACAGCCAATGTCCTTACGATGCTCTCCGTTCCCAGGTCCTGAGGATTAAACACGCTCACGCAGGCTCGCCAAAACTCAGCTACATTATTTTGGCCCGTTTTTCTTTTCTTTTTTTAAAATTTCTGATTTTGAGACAGAGGCTCAACTAAACGGCCCAGGCTCGATTCGAATTGCTGCCTCAGGCTCCTAAGCAGCTGTGAACTCACAAAGAGCTGAGCATTCACAAAAGCCCACCGCGTCAGAGAAACGGAGCGGCGGTCCCGACTCGGCGCGCAAACCTTCACGCAGGCGCGCCGAGCAGTCGCCGCGCTCCTGGCTACCCAGAATTCCTAGGGCGGCGGAGCCCACTCGCTCGGCGGGACGGGGGAGACCAGGGCAGCGGGGCGGGGTCTATGGGTGGGCGCGCGGAAGTTCCCGTGAGCCTTTGCTGCCCGCACCCCCCCTTCCCGTGCGGAGTGGTCTATCCTGAGCCCTTAAGAGACGGGCACGCACGTGCTGGGCTTTCTCTGCGGACGTCATGGGGTCCTGTCTCTTTCACCCGTGCGGCTGGCGCCTGCCCCGCGGCCTGGTGGAGCCGAGCCTGGTGGGCGCCGAGCCCGGTCTCCCAGCTCCGCCGTGGGCGCCGTGCAGACCCAGGGGAGCCGGGTAAGTCGGGGGTCCGCCACCCGGGGCGCCGCACGCGGGCGGGGTGTCGACTGCCCCTGATGATACCAGTAATAGGAAGTGCCGTCCGAAGCGAGAACTGACGACGTCCCTATTTAGCTGACCGCAGTCGCGCAGGCCTCCGCGACTCCGGGTTGAACACGACTGCTAGGATTGCCTCTTCATTCTCACCCTGTTAACTTCCAGGCGCGGTGTTGACGGGGAGTAGGAGCAGGATTCCGCCATGAGGTAAGATTCTGAACCGTTGGCGTGTGGCCAAGAGTTGCATAATTCCCTTCCTTAACCTGCGGTGTTACTGGATAGTGCGTTCCAGCCACAGCCCTAAAGTGACGATTGCATTGAGTTCATGTTTTATGTAGAAGTGTTCCAGCTATATTTCTCCTAGGCTGGAGATGGCTCACCGGGGAAGAGGCCCTATTACTGTTATCGTACTATTATGTGCGGTGGTTCCTAGCCTTCTGTATCTCTGGTGCCAGGGAAGCCAGCATTTTCTGGCATAAGGACACACGGGTAATCTAACAAGGGTCTCCAATAATGGCTGAAACGACCCGTTGGAGTGGGACAGTGAAGTGCTTGGCTGCTGTGATGAGATCACTTGTAGGAAGTGCCGTCAGAAGCGATAACTGACGATACCTGCTCCTGGCTGACTGCAGTCAAGTCCTCACCAGTAGCCAGTGCTTAGGATTAACTCTTGGAACTCTTAACAGATGCCCCACTCTATTCCTCTAGGTTGGAAGTTTAAAGAGTGGAGGGTTGCCAGCAGTATGGCCTCACATAAGGTAAACTTTCATCTCGGGGTTTTAGTTGGGTCTAGAAAAGGACACTAGACTAAGGTGGTTGTGGTTCACTATGTGAGTGCTGGGACTCCCCAGTGCTCTGAACACTGAGCCACTTTTCCAGCCCACTAACTCAGGTCTTGAAACATTCACTTGGAGGCTGGAGAGATAGCTCAGCGGTTAAGAGCTATCTGTCTGATCTTCCGAAGGCTATGAGTTCAGTTCCCAGCGACCACATGGTGGCTCACAACCATCTATAATGTGAACCGATTCCCTCTTCTGGAAGATATAAATGCAGATAGAACAATCGTGTGTGTGTATAAAATGTCTTCTTTAAAAATAAACTTAAACATTAACTTGTGTGGTAGACTGGACAACTCATTCTACCATTTGGCTCTGATGGATTGAACTCAGTTTTGCTGGTTTGCCAGAGAGCCATCTCACAGGTTAATTAAGATTGCACTTTAGTAACTTGGGAACTATTCCCTTGGGATGTGTAGGGTGTGCTGTGGGTTTCACTGGGTGGCAGTGCATGGCTTTAATCTCAGCACTTGGGAAGCAGACAGCAGCAGCGCCGTGTTCAGGCCAGCTTGGTCTACAGCCAACTCTACAAAGCAGAGAAACCCTGTCTCGGGAAAAAAAAAAAAGAGGCCAGCATTGGAAATAATGTCCTGTTTCTGCAACCCATCTTAGGTGTGTGTCCGTTTCCTCAAGAACTGAGTGCTGGAATGCGGTTTGTGTGGGCAGCAGTGGCAAAGGTAAGTTTTGTACATTGACTGGTTGTTATTGCCCTGAAAAAGATATCAGATGATGAGATCACCTAAAATAGCTGGAATTACCGGCAGATTGCTAGTGGTGAGCCTATGGATTTCTGAAGATATCTTTAAATACTCTGAATGCCAGTGGTTGGAGCAGCAGTGATTCTGAAATTTAGTTCATTTGCAGGTGGCTTCTCCCGAGGAGTCCTCAAAAACTCAAGATCCTGAAAGCAGCCTCTTTAAACCTTGGTATGAAAGTACTTCAAGGATGTGTCTGCTGACTCTGCTCTGTGCAAGCACATTGGTAATCCTGTCCCACAGGAGCCTCTATGTCTTTCAATAAATTCTAATTTAAGAAAATTGATGTATCGAGTGAATTCATTAAATTGTGTGCAGTTAACCATTAATGAAGCATAGTCTTTGGCATTGGTCCTTAAAAACATGTATTTGAAGAGGAAACTTGAGTGTCAGGTGTTAAGTCCAGCCTTAGCACTGTAAACTTCTGGTCAGTCTGAGCTGCTTTCACAACCTAAGACTGGGGCAAAAATTCCAAAGCATGTAAGGCACCCACACTCAATTCCTTTACCTTGGCTGTGTCTGTTTGGTGCCTATACCCTGCAAGCCAGCTTGTTTACCCAACCTGTAGTAAGCCTGTGCTTCCCCATATCTGGTTTTTGTCCACCAGGTTTGGATCACTTAACAGTTCTCTTGGGCTTGTTCATTGTGAGACTAGGAGTGTTTGTGGGAAAATGGTGAGCAAAGGAGCCCCCAGTTTTTCCTTTTTGCTGACTAGGCCTTGACTGGTCCTAGAGCCTTAAGTGGGTTTTGTTCTTGAAAAGCCATTCCAGGGACTAAACACAGGTCTGAAACAGCAGGTTAGAAAAGTTGTGCTGGTTGGGGCGTGAGGGAAGTAGGCACAGCGCTGCTCTGCAGTTGCCAGCCAATAGAGGGAGGCTTGCAGCTTGAACTGGACTTTATATACCACCTTCAAGAAGGCCCTGGGAACCAGGAAGAAAGTGAATGCTCCTCAGGTCTTAACCCTTAAATGGCCTATGGTATCTGCCTGAATTAGTGAGTGGGCTCACTGCAGAGCACTTGGTCCTTGTGGAAGTCTGGAGACCAGAGTCCCTTGAGCAGGGAGTTGGGGCTTGAAAACCTAAGGTTAGTACTCTGATCTCATCCTAGTGAGAGCTAGGTGGGGCTGTCCACACACCCAGATGGGGGAAGCCCCTATCCTGTCTGCCTTATCCAGGACTGGTTAGGACCCCTATATCCATGTCAGGTCTGAATCACAGACTCCCTACTTTCATGGTCTCTGGCAGGTGTCACAGGGCTTTCTCCAGGGTCCTGCTGACTTGTACCTTCCCTGGCCTCTTCCCCAGTACCTGGCCCCTCACCCAGCTCCAGGATGGTGGGTAGGTGACCCTGTTTTGGAGAACGCTTGCGCAGGCTGAGCAGGAATGGCTGGGGTAATGAGAAGATGTCCACGTTGTTGCCCAGGTCAATCCATGTGACGTTGGGGAACTTGCTGGGGTCCTTCAGAGTGTCGGTGAGGCCCCTCAGCACAGCCCGGGTCAGGCGGTTGCCGTTGAGGGCTAGTGTGGTGAGGCGGGGCAGGGTACTGAGTGCAGGCAGTAGCTGCAGCACCATGTCATCTGTGAGGCCCGTGAAGCCGAGCTCCACGCTGTCCACTTGGTCCCCGCAGCGCTGAAGGTAGCTGGTCACCCGTTCCAGGTCCCGGGAAGTCAGAGGAATGCCTGACAGATCCACCATGTTGTCTGGAGGATTCCCAGCTAGGAGGGCTTTAAGACTGGAAAAAAAGGAACAAGAAGCCTAAGCAGGCAGGGCAGGCCTTTCCTGGGGGCAGTAGTGGCTATGACCACAGAGCTGGCCTCTGCTCGACTCTGACCTGAGACCTCACTTCTATCCCCTGCCAGGACAGAGAGACAAGGGGGTCCTGTTTCCTCAGCATCTGCTTCAGGCTGAGCGAGTGGGCAGAACATAAGGTTTGCGGCTGCCATCCCAGTTGCTCTCCAAGCTTGGATTTCTATGGTGCCTGCCTCCTCTTAAGTCCTTTACTTCCTATCCTGTGCTCTAATTGATTTAGGTCACTTGCTTGCCCAATAAATAAATAATAAAAATAGGGTTATGGGGGATACTAAACACAAAGTGCCTCCTTGAGTCAGAGAACTGCTGTCATTGTTAGTCACGGTTGGGGGCTGAGCTCCCGCAATTGAGTGGCAGCTGGCTTGCCTCCAGAAGTTGAGAACAGCAGGCTAGTGAAAGCAAAAGGACTCCTGGAGGCTTGCTGCTCTCATCTCCTTCCTCTCCCTGCCATCTTGCTGCCTCTTGCCTTGTACTTGGCCTGATGGCACGTGTGCTCCCAGGCCTCGCTCCTGTTGATGCGTTACCGATTCTCTGAGTTCCCCACGCTCAACTTGCTGCAGGAAGGATGTGTGTGCAGCTCCAGGGTCGCAGCTAGCCTCCCCGAAGCAGTTCCCCTTGGCCTTCCTGAAGCTGGGAGATGAATTAATGTTGTTCGTTGGAATTGAAGATAAAAGTCTCAAGAGCGTGGGATTTAACAGCCTAGAATCCTGCCTGGAATTTGGTTGTGACATCAGTGTTGGGTTCTACATCAATGTCATTAACAAAGACAACACGGCATCCTGAAGATGGATGACTGTCTACACCCCTGAGTTAGGTTGGTATGGGTTTGAATCATCCCCACTGCTTACCAGATTCAAAAGCTTAGCCAGTCAAATGGCAAAAATAGTCTACCCATTCACTTGAAATATTTGTTATGGTCCTACTATGTGCCAGGCAATGACCTAGGCACTGGCATCACGATGGTGAACAAAGTAGATAGCAGCTCTGTTTTCCTTTTATCATGGAGAAGGCAGGGAACAAATAAAGATGACAACATATATAACTTGATATAAAGGTAAGCAAGCATGGGCCATCAGAAGAGCTAGCGAAGAGTCCCAACTGAAGCAGTGTCAAGTAGGAAGGCCCTGACTATAAAGCTTGTGTGTGTGTGTGCGCTCACGTGCGTGTGCGAACACGTGCACAGGGAGTTTCAGGCCAGCCAAAGCTACATTGCAAAGACCTTGTCTCAAAAATAAAACAAAACAACAACAAAACAAAGCTGTCCACAATGGCCCATGCCTTTAATCCTAGCACTTGGGAGGCAGACGGATTTCTATGAGTTCAACAAAAGCCAGAGCTACATAGACCCTGTCTCAAAAATCAAAACCAAGCCGGGTACAGTGGCACATGCCTTTAATCTCAGCACTCAAGGAGGCATAGGCAGGCTTATCGATGTGAGTTTGAGGCCAGCCTGGTCTACAAAGCCAATCCAGGACAGCCAAGGCTACACAGAGAAACCCTGTCTTGGAAAACCAAACCAAACCAGAAACAAAAACAAAAACAGAACCCCAAACCAATCAAAAACAAGGTGCAGGGGTCGGGAGAACTGGAGAGGTGGCTTAGCAGTTAAGAACACAGTGGTTTTGGAGAGGATCTGAGTTGGTTCTCAGCACCCATGCCAGGCAGCTCACAACTGCTTGTAACCCCGGCTCCGGGGGACCTGATGTCTCTAGAGCAGTGGTTCTCAGCCTTCCTAATGCTGTGACCCTTAATACAGTTCTTCAGGTTGTGATGATCCTCCCCAGGCATAAAGTTATATCATTGATAACCTCTTAACTGTAATTTAGATGCTGTTATCAAACAAAATGTAAGTATCTGGTATGTAGGATACTTATATGCAACCCTGATGGGGTCGAGACCCACAGGTTGAGAAGTGCTGCTCAAGACTCTAAGGGCACCTGCATTCACATGCATATATTACTACAGACACAGACTTGGTTACTTTTAATATTCTGTTACTTAATGTGTATGGACATCTGCCAGCCATGTGCCTGCCTGTTGCTGGAGGAGGCCAGAATGGAGTTGGATCCCCTGCTGTTACAGATGGTCCTGAGCTTCCAAGTGGGTGCTAGAAATCTGAACCCCAATCACCTGCAAGAGCAGCCAGTGCTCTAAATTGCTGAGCCGTCTCTCTAGCCCCATGATGGTTAGTTATAGATGGTCGTGAGCCACCATGTGGTTGCTGGGAATTGAACTTAGGATCTCTGGAAGAGCAGACAGTGCTCTTAACCTCTGAGCCATCTCTCTGGCCCCAGAGGCGAGGGACAGACCTGTTTTGATGAAAGAGTTAGCTGATACAAGAAAAATAGGCCTGTAGGTAGGCACCATTATTCTCTGGGTTGGGCCTGGGACTGAGTGGAGAAAGAGCTGAGAGTTAGGCATGCACGCACTCATTTTCTCCATGCTCTGGACTGTCGGTGTGACCAGTGGCTTCAATCTCCTGCCATTTTGGCTCCCCCATGATAGACTAAACTGGAACTGTAAGTCAGATAAACTCTCTTCCTTTTAAAGCTGCTTTTGCCAGATGTCTTGTCCTTCCCAGTCCCCTGAAAAGCCACCAGGATGATCTTGGGCACAGCACCAGGGCCTTGCCAGTCTTTGAGCAGGCAAGCCAATCACCTGTGTCATTTGCAAAAATCAGGAGTGCCTCCTTCTCCAGGAAGCCTGCTCTCAGCCTGTGTCCATGGCTTCCTACCAAGAGACCTTTGTGTAATGTGTCTCAAGCCCTCCAGCTTGGTCTCCAGGGGCTATAGAACTCTGGAGGGTCTTCACTGCTGCGTGGCTGAGACGGGGCTAGAGTCTGGGTCCCCTGGCAGGACATACATCTCAGAGAACTTTTTGGAAGTGGCCAGAACTTGAGGCAATCTTCTTGCCTCAGCCTCCAAAGTACAGGATTACAGAGGTACACCACCATGCCTGGCTTCCATCCCAGAGTGCTAGGAATTAGAAATTCCTTATGTTCCGTGCCCACCTGCCCACCTGGGAGCCATGTTCCACATTTCCACCCCAAGGATGTCCTTTTCAGCATCTCTCATGTACCTGAAATGACCACATTATTTTCCTGGTCCTTAAATCTGGCATAATCTTACCTCCTTTAGGCAGGATTTATTGACACCCCCTCTGGCACGGGCCCTTCCCTCAGCAGTGCCCCAGGAAGGGATCAGTCAGCAGGGCTGGGGCAGGGCAGACTACAGGGGACTGCCACTCACCAGGCCTGGGGCTTCCTCTTCACCAGCCCTCGGTGCCTCCTCCACTGTGAATGAGGGCTAAGGTGGTAGGTCAGCTGCCGGCACAGCTTCTCCATGGCACCCAGGGCATCACCTTCCTGCAGAGACAATCACAGGCACAGGTCTGTGAGGTGTCCCTGGAGGACTTGGAGGTGCCCTGATCCCCACTCTAGACTCCCTGGCTCTCTGGGAGCTCAGAACAAGAGAAGCCTACCCTGCTGGCCCCACTAAGTGCCTTTGGTGGCAGGGGCAGCAGGCACAAGTTCTGTCTGTGTGTGCATGCAGGCATGCGTGTGTGTTAGGAATCAAATCTAGGGCCTCAAACATGCTAAGCAAATGCTCTACTGCTAAGCTACTCTCTGAGCCTCTGCCTTCAGAATTAGCTGCTACCACTGGAAAACCTAACATTTATAGAGAGTCTGGATTGCAGGTCTGGCCATGACTGGCTGGAACAGACCTGTTAAACAGAACATCATACGGCCCCTGCCAACTCGCAGTATTCAGTCATTCTGTTCACTCACAAAGGCAGGGCTATGCTCATGAACAAAGGTTCCTGTATTTCACATAATAAAGTATCTTATTTTGACTTAATGTCTTTCCCCAAAGTGGGAAAAGAGAAATCTGAGAGGGCCAACTCCTTCCCAACCTGTCTGCTTCATCAGCATTGATGTTTTAAAATTTTCATGTGTATGGATGTTTTGTTTGTATGTATGCATGCAGTGCCCACAGAGGCCAGAAAGGGCATCAGAGTCCCTGGAACTCGAGTTACAGATGATTGTTAGAGTCCCTGGAACTCGAGTTACAGATGATTGTTAGTTACTATGTGGTTGCTGGGAATTGAACCAGTCTCCTCGTCAAGAGCAGCCAGTGCTCTTAATTGCTTAGCCATCTCTCCAGCCCTTTCATCAGCATTTGAGTTTGTGACCCTCAGCACCATGGGATGAACTGTGTCCCTTCAATATATGTATTTGTTTGTTGTTGTTGTTTTCGAGACAGTGTTTCTCTGTGTAGCCTTGGCTGTCCTGGACTTGCTTTGTAAACCAGGCTGTCCTCGAACTCAGAGATCCATCTGCTTCTGCGTCCTGAGTGTTGGGATCACAGGCGTGCACCACCATCCGGCTTTTCTGGGTGCTCTTGATCCGTGGTTGGTTGAACTCCCGGATGTGTTCACAGCTACAGACCGAATTCACTGCAAACTTGCTGTGCGCTGGGTTCTAGGCAAAGCGCCTGAGTAGCAGTGACTCAGTGTGTCCTCCACAGTGCGTGCAGCCAGTGTCGATAACCCTCCAACCCCTAGAAGAGAGCTAAAGGCACGGAAAGGCCACTTTAATTCGCTCAAGGCCGTCCACAAACCAAGATGTGGAACCCGCACAATCTGGTCTGGAGTCCTTGTTCTGAATGATTTCACAGGCTGTTTCTTCATTAGCAGAGTGACAATGGTAAAAAAAAGAAAAAAAAAAAAAAAAAAGATGGTTCTTGCCACCCATTCCTGGGTTAGGCTTCATTCTTCTCCACCCAACTCAGAGCTGGCACGGGCTATGCCGAATTGACTCTCCTTGAAATGGAGCTGGTGTCTCTCTATTGAATCTTCCCACTGCTGTCAACCCAGTGTGGAGTGCAGTGACTTAACTGACAGAAATCAATGTTCTTACTGTTGCAGAGGCCACTTAGATGCGGCCTTCCCTAGCCTTCTGTAAAGGGTTTCCCTGAATCCCCACATTGATCTTTCCTCTGGACATGTCTGTGCCCTTGTCACTGTCACTTCTTCTGAACATACCAGCTATATTGGTTTTGAACAAGCCCCCTCATACGGCCTTGTTTTTACTTTAACTGCTTTTAAATGTCCTGTCTTTGAATGCGGTCACATTCTGTAGTATGGATGGTTAGGGAATCAATATAGAGCCGAGCAGCAGTGCACACCTTTAATCCCAGCACTCGGGAGGCAGACGCAGACAGATCTCTGTGAGTTCGAGGCCAGCCTGGTCTACAGAGTGAGTTCCAGGACAGCAGGGTCTATATAGAGAAACCCTGTCTCAAAAAGCCGAAGGAAGAAAGAAAAGGAAGGAAGGAAGGAGGGAGGGAGGGAGGGAGGGAGGGAGGGAAGGAAGGAAGGAAGGAAGGAAGGAAGGAAGGAAGGAAGGAAGGAAGGAGAGAATCTGGCAGCCTGGAGACTGGTGGGACCCCTCTAGAAAGGTCCTGGTTCTTCACAGCATCTCTGCTCTCCCTGTTGCTTCAGCCTGACTGCCAAACTGTCCGCTCCAGACATCACACCAACCCTTTGGAGTAGACATCAGATTCCTCGACTTAGATTCTTGCTTAGCTCTGTCACACAGGTGGGCACAGGTGACACAGGGCAGAGGATGCATCATTGGAGGCTGCAAGGGAGTCAGTGGAGAGGAATGGTGGCTGAGGTTTATATCCTGGCTTTTCTTACTGCGAGGTGGGGCAGGAGGGCTGAAAGTTGAGAGGGTGACTGAGGCCTGTGCCCACAGAAGGGACTGAAAGTGACAGAGGTCATATACAGGTTAGAGAAGGAGCGGGCAGAAGGCAGGTGAAGGGATGGGGACATCTGGGCTAGAACGTAAGGGGCTCAAGATAGTTTCAACTGTCAGTGTGGCAGGATCTGTCGTTACCTAAGAGACAGGCCACTCAGCACCCCAGAGAGCATGATCTTGAGGTAGAGTGACATGGGAAGGGGCACCAGCCAGCTGAGCAGAAGCATGAGTGCACCTCTGTCTTCTGAGTAGGCAACATGACCAGTCACTTGTTGGGGCTTCTGAGGGAAATGCGGAGAGGGAAACCATTCCCTGTGGGAACATGCTGAAGGGGAGGGGTCCAGGGAAGCCCAGCTGGGGCTCCTCAGGATCTGGTTGAACCCCTGGCTGTGGAATAAGCTGAGGCGGGAGTTAAGAGAACAATGGACAAGTAGACAGGAGGCACAGAAAAATAGCTGTGAGCGAAGCAATAGGTCCCCAAAAGAAGGTGGCTAATGACAACTTTGGTGGCCACTGCGAGGGCTTTCCCAGCACAGGCTTGGCCTGGGAGAGAAGTAGTCGTGGGGACTGGTAACGGTGCCACCTGATGTTAGAGGCAAAGGATGGGGTACAAGGATGGGACATGACACAGGCGCAGCCCACCTAGGGTTCATTCCGCCTTGGAAGCCCAGGGTGCCTTAGAAAAACCAGCTCTAGTGGTGAGTGGGCAGGCCCTCTGGCAGCGGATTAACTTTGTTTCTCATCAGTGTACAAAATAATAGGTTTCATTATGACATTTTCATACACACATTATACATCTTATTCACATTCTCTCTCTCTCCCCATTTGCTCTCCTCTGTTCCTCCTCCCACTTGCTAAGCCTTGTGTGGTTTGAACAGCCCCCTTCTGCTTTCATGACACACCACTCTGGGAAAAGCGCAATATTTTGTCTGTCCCTAGCTTATTCCTGACTGCTCCCCTGTCTCCCGAGCCCCTCTTCCCCATCCTAGTCCGGCAGGGAAAGTGATTCCTTTGTGAAGCACAGGCTCAAGGCCTTAAGGACAAGGAAGGCACGCCCCACATCATTCTTGGATGATCTAGGACAGAACTGTTGCCAGTTTCCGGAAGAAGCCGACCCAAAGCCCACAGCTGAGCCCCTCTGCTCTGGCCCTTCCTCCAGTCACTTCCCTGGAGTGTACCCGGGACCATGGCCCTCCCTCTCAGCCTTCCAAGCCGGGGCAGCTCAGGCAGCGGAATCTTGAAGAGAACAAAGAGGACTGGTAGTGCAGGGCGTCGGCCACCAGGGGGCAGCGGAGCACAGGGCGAGGCGGCTGCTACCAGAGAGCGCCTGGAGTCGATTTTGGCCTTGTCATTGGCTCAACAGGGACAATAGAGGATAGCTGAGCACGCCAATTAGCGTTGAGAGTAACTGTAAAGAGCACACGTGAGGAGTTCCTTTCGCTTGCCTGAACTAAACCCAACGTGAGTCTTTGCTTCTTTGTTTTGTAGTGCCCAGATGGCAGCCAGCACCGGCGATACCTCTCACCCTTTACTGAGCATCTCGGAATCATTATACAGTTCCTTCATTCACGTGGGCGCCTATGAACGCACACATTCCTGACACTCCCACTTTGCAAACGAAAGGCATACTGTTCAACCGTGCAGGAGGGAATGGAGCCAGACATTGCTTCCTGGCTGAGCCGGGAACCTATCCACTCTACTCCCCTTGTTAGAAACCTGGCCCTTCGAACATTCACTCAGGGTGCATTTATTCTTCATTCCTTCTCCTTCAGGCTCTCTCAAGGCCTTCTTGCAGCAGAGAATAGGACTGAGTGGGGCTGGCCCGCGAGAGGAAAGTGTGTGTGCCTGTGCATAGGGGGATGGTGGCAAGAAAGGAGGACCCAGCACGAAAACGGACAGCTTCGGCGTCAGCGGCTTATCGCTGCCTCACAGGGGTGGAGTAGCTGCTTCTTGGGCAACCCTGGCCAGGTGGCTCTGGGACAGCAAGCATGGGTGACCCGCGTCTCTGTCTACACCCCCTAGGCCTAGCATGCTCCTTGGCGATCTCCTTTTTCTCTGGGCGGTTTGGCTCATCTACCACTGTACGACTGGACCCCACTAAGCTCCTGATAGCTGGTCCACAAAGCGTCTCAATACACCAGCAGGCATGTCTCCCTCTCCCTGGAACCTGGACTTGAAAATGAAACACCTACTAGGGACTGGAATGTTGACAAGTGAACAGGGACCACAGCCACATTCCCTACTATGGGGGTGCAGATGGGAATGAGCCCCATGAAGAGCAAACAGGATGTAATGGAGCAGGAGCTGGGGGTGGGGGTGGGGAAATGAATGAATTTACAAAGCACGCTTGCTTGGTAGTTGTAATGCCTTGAGGATGGGCCGCAAGACTCTGGACTTCGTGGGTGTCTGTTAATGGCAGTTAACCACACAAGAGGCTCACTGTCACACCGTGGAATTGACTCTCCTAGCAGCTCTTTTTCCCACCCATGGAGGAGGACACTGAAGGAAGGAGTGGAGGCCCGGCACAATTGGCAGGACTCCAGTCTCTCCAGACCTGCCCAGTGACACTGTCCTCAAGCACCAGGGGGAGGAACTGTGAGGGACTCCTCCACGATCTACAGGAAAGAGGGTTAGGGGGCTCACAGCCAACCAGCAGCCGTCCCTGTCTCCCACCTGCCAGGCCCACCTGCCACCTTCATTTCGCAGGCACCTCTATGACAGCCTCTAGGGCTCCAACTACCTTGTCCTCCACCCAAAGGCTTCCCTCATTCATAAATCTACTCACTCATGAGTCAGTTTCTGACTGCTCCAGTTTGTATGCCTGCCTGCTGGTTTTTCTCTGCTGGCCCGTCCATCCCCCCAAGTCCATCTTCTGACCTTCTGTGTGCACCCTCGAACTCCTGACCTGCAGACACTGGCAACAGATGCTTGCTTCTGCGTTTCACTTGTTTATATTAAATAGTGTAGATATGTGCATGCATGATGAGCATGGGGTGTGCTCTGAGGACAGCTGTTGCGGCAGCTGGTTGCGATTCCAGCCGTGGTGAGATGGGAGGTGGAGGCAGCTAGCCTAATGTACTTCAAACAAGGGCCAGTGAGGGACCTTGTTTCAAACAAAAGGCAGAAGGCCTCTAAGCAGACACCTGAGGCTGTCTTTTGATCTCATGTGCACAGACCCACAGGCGCACGCCTGCATCTGGACACTTACATCCTCTTACCCCCTCCAGGCATGTGAGTGTGTGTGCACGCACATGCATACAGAAACACACACAAAATTCACAGTGGAACATGCTGCTTCCTGCCTGTTATAAGATGCAACTGTACTCAGGTGTGGTGGCGCACGCCTGTGACCCCAGCACTTGGGGAGGCAGAGGCAGAAGGATCGCTGTGAGTTCCAGGGCAGCCTGGTCTACAAAGTGAGTCCAGGACAGACAAGGCCACACAGAGAAACCCTGTCTCAAAACAACCAACCAACCAACCAACCAACCAACCAACCAACCAACCAACCAGATGTAACTGAAAAAGATGGATGGAAAATCCTTAGAGTCTTAGCCCTGGCTGTCCTGGAACTCGATTTGTAGAGCTGGGTGGCCTCGAACTCACAGAGGTCCCTTGCCTCTGCCTCCTGAGTCCTGGGGTTAAAGGTCGTATGCCACCACCTCTGTCAATATCTAAATTTCATTTATTTATTTATTTATTTATTTATTTATTTATTTATTTATTTATCTATCTATTTATTTATTTATTTATTTATTTTCAAAAGATTTATTTATTAGTATACAGTGATCTGTCTATGGCCTAGAAGGAGGGCACCAGATCTTATTACAGATGGTTGTGAGCCACCATATGGTCGCTTGGAATTGAACTCAGGACCTCTGGAAGAGCAGCCAGTACTTTAAACCTCTGAGCCATCTCTCCAGCCCTGATAATTTAGATTTTAAATGCCTGCAAGAGCCACGTGTTTAAGACTTGGTCCTCAGCTTGGTACCACTGGAAGACAGAACTTTGAGAGGGAGTCTAGTGGGAGGGGCTAGGCCATTGCAGGTATTTGGTTGGAATCTGAAATGCCCACCCACCACACAGGCCCATGTTTTGAAATCTTGTTTCCCAGGAGGTGGATTATTTTGGGTGGTTGTGGAGCCGTAGGTGGCAGAACAAGGGGGTCTTTGAAGATGCTAGCCTAGTCCTTGGTTCTAGCCTTTCTCTGTTCTTTTCTGGTCCACCACGATGGGAACTGATTCCCATCTGATAGCTGGTGGTCCTGACATTTCTGTCTAAAACCTCTGGGCCACAACCTGAGTAGCTAGGAGAGGGTCAGATGCAAAGATCTATGAGAAGGAAGTGCCAGTCACTCCTGAGGCAGTGTAGGTGACTCGGGCGGCCCTGGTGAGGCTGCCTCCTTACCAGCTTGGAGATTCTTTCTACCCCTGTCTCACCCACTCCTAGGAGAGCCCTAGAGGAGCCATGGTGGTCCTCGAACCTCCAGCAGGGCAGGGCCCATTTGCTGACTGTGGAAATACTGGTCAGAAAGCAACGCTGCTCTGGGCCTGTGGAGATCATGTCTTACCTGCTACTGTCTCCTACACTGCCCTGCTATTTTGGTACCCCAGTGGCATGCAGGAGGTGTGCCACCGGCTACTAATCAGGTGTACAGGTGTCAGATGGGCAAAGCCCATGCAGGTACCTCTCACAAGCTATCTCATTTAGCTCTCAGCAGGAGGAGGGAGGCGGTTTGGACGTCCGCTTGGGGTTATGGTAAATGAAGTTTTGGCAATCAAGTGATGTGGAAAAGGTGACGGCATGCAGTGCAAGGAAGGTTTGTGTCCCACCCCCATTGGTGTGCTGGGGACAGCCTCTGGGAGACGGCTAGACTGTCAGGGTGGTGCCCCCCCGCCAGCAAAGCTGTTCTAAGAGAGGTCTAGGGTGCTGCCTGCCCTCTTTCCACCGCGTGAAGATAACAGGAGAAGGCAGTAATCAGAGATGGAGAACAGAGCTCCCATCAGACACCCCAACTTTTAATTTCTGCCCAGAAGTCCTCGGGCAATGGTACTTTGGCAGCCTAAGCCGAGTAACACAGACTGATGTGGCTCCAGGCCCTCCTAGGCGGAAGGAAAAGGCCGAAGTAAGGAGCTCGAGGTTCTAGCCTAGCCTGGGCCTGTGTCGCTGGGCCTGACGTGGCAGTTTGCTCTTCCTGTCCTGCCCGGCCCCAGGTTTGCAGAGGGGACCATATCACCTCTTCAGTCCTCAAGAAAGAGAGCCTACCGCAGGAACTGTTTTCCTCAGCTCTCAAATGGACATGAAAGTGATATTTCACCTGTTTATTTTTGATACCTGTTACCTGCCATTCCCCTTCACCTTTAGGCAGTTCACTTCCTGTTCTAGAAAAGGCAGGGCTGTTGACACCTGCAGAGCTTCCACAGAGGCCGTTTCTAGTCCTGTTCCCCAGGGCCCCATCTTCAGCCACTTGGTTCCCTGTGGCTCTTGGCATCAACTAGCTCCTCTCCCAGTCCACCAGCCCTCATGACTGGCTTCTCTAATTGTCTTGAATTTGACTCAGAGCTCCTTTGCCTGTCTTTGGTTGACCCTGGCCACCTCTCATCCTCTCCAGCCATTCTCCCTCCTCTCCAGATCTTGGCACTAGGTGGCTCCAGGAGCCAGAGAGAAACTCCCAGAGGAAGCTACAGACAGAGTCAAACCCTGAAAGCTTCTTTTCCACTGAGCAAAGATCCGACTCCCTAGGCAACCATGGTCAGGTCTGCGCTGTCCACAAAGGGGCCCACCTCACACCCCAGGTCTTGGGTGCTTCACACAACTGCCTACCGGCTTGGGGCAGTGGATGTATCGAGCCAGATTGATGATGAGGTCGTGTGTGATGGGGTCCACCAGGTTCCGGAAGCTGGCATAGCGACAGAGCACATCATCCAGGGAGGTTGACTCCATGCCCAGGTCCTGAAACAGAAAAGGAAGTCCAGAGGTCATGTGCCGTCCGAACCATCCAGAGAGCCCAGAGAAGTGGGCACAGACTCTGGAGGCAGCTCCGCTCCCCCAAGGGCCCAGGCAAGGAAGGTCTAGAGAACAGCTCTTAGGGAGCAAAGACAAACCCTGCCTGTTCTGTCTCCAGCCGAGGTGAAGGAGCCACAATCCCAACGTTCACGCAAGCCCTGGTTACGGCTGTAACATCCTAGTTTCTGAACCTCTCCCCAAAACATTTGTCCCAAACATCCTCTGGCTTTCACCAGGACGAAGTCACAGGTGAAAGGCTAGCCTTAGTGCTCTACCTCATAAGGCAGGCAGTTTCTACCCTTCAAGTCAGGAGCCGCATGGCTGACGGGGGCTGTCTCTTTGATGGGTCTATCTCACTGATATCATGGAGTTGGAAAAGATGGAAGGAGGAGGTTCCCATGGGGGGAGATGAGTTTCGGGGTAACACCTTCCGGAAGAATCCCAGCTGGGGTGGGGCTCCCAGAGCTCTAAGGGCTACATTAGAACGCACCAGCCTTTGGCTGGGTACAGGCTGCTGTACTTCATTGCTTGCTTGATTTCTGGTTCCGCCAGGGAGGTGCCCAAGGCACTAGTGTTACTACAGGACAAACCACAGTATCGGGGTGTCTCCTCTTCTAATTCAGTTCATCGGGGTCCCTTAACTGGGTGTGAGGGAGGGGGTGTCCCAGGAGGCTGCAGTCAGGGGGTGCTGGTACTGCATGAGGAAGCTGGAAGACTTGAATCCAGATATGGCCCCTTCTGGTGGCGGCCTCGGAGGGGCTGGCGTGCCTTGCGACAGTGAGGCACCCACAAGGCTCTGAACAGCTCATCTCTAGGAACTGTGTGCACAGATGGCTGCTCGTCAGAAAAGTCTGGGCGAGGAACATCAAGTAGCAGGCACTAAGTCACTGCCTGGGGCAGGCGGAGTGGTGGTGGGCTCTGCTGGGAGGGTGGAGCTGGGCTAGCCCCAAGCCACTATCTGCTCCCTGACCTGAAATGTTGACAGATGCACAGGCCATCTCAGAGGAGTGGGTTTGGGGACATTTTACAATGAGGCAAGTGATGACGGGCCTTCAGCCAAGGCTATGGGTGTCCAAAGGGCAAGTATAGATTCACACTGGAAGTCAGTATAGTGTCCTAAACACCTCGGGAGGAGCCCAGGTCTGCGTGGCAAACCAGAGGCTCTTCAAGGGCCCCTTTGAGTGACAGCACCTGTACCACCCTGGACTTCCTGCATAGGTCCCAGTCCCAAATAACCTACTGTGAAAGCCAGAATGTTGGTAGGAAGCGGGACACAGGACCTTCACAGCAGGAAACAGCCCCTCTTCTCATGTCTTTATTTTCCTTTCGAAAATTCAGTTATTCTTGTAAAAATCTATTTCTCTCATACATAAATTTGTTTATCAGTTAAAAAAAAACGCACAAAAAACAGAGGGCTGGAAAAATGGCTCAGAGGTTAAGAGCATTGGCTGTTCTTCCCAAGGTCCTGAGTTCAATTCCTAGCAACCACATGGTGGCTTGTAACCATCTATATTACAAGATCTGGTGCCCTCTTCTGGCCTGCAGGCTCACATGCAGGCAGGATTCTGTATAAATAATAAATGAATCTTAAAAAAAAAACAAAAACACAGGTTTATTGAGATGTAATTCACATAAAACATCCACAGGACACATTCTGGGGCTTAGGTAGAGCTCAGTGGCAGAGTATATTCTCTGCGTGTGTGAGGGCCTGGATTCAATCTTCAGCACAAAAAAAAAACAAAAAACAAAAAAAAAAAAACACACGTTTGAACCTTTGTGCAGTCACCACAATAAATTTTAGAACATTCTCATTACCAAGAAACTCTGTGACCACTACCCCATTCCCAAATCTCCCTCTCAGGCACTGGACAACAGTCACCTAAATTAACATGCAAGTCCTTTAGAATCCCTTCTCCTTAGAACTTTTTTTGTTTTTAGACTTAACCAGGTGTGGTGACTTGGTGACACACATCTTTTATCCCAGCACTTGGGAGCCAGATCTCTGAGTTTGAGGTCTGATCTACTGAGTGAAATCCAGGACAGCCAGGGATACAGAAAGAGCCCCTGCCTTCAAGAAACAACAGCAACAAGAAACTTTAAACACCCACCAACTTTTTTTACTTGTTTTTATTTTATGTGAATGAGTGTTTGTCTGAACTCACGAGTGCCTGGTACCAGCGAGGCCAGAAGGGAGCACTAGATCTCCTGGAAAGGGAGTGACAGATGGTTGTGAGCTATCATGTGGGTGCTGGGAATGGAACCCAGGTCCTCTGCAAGAGCAGTAAGTGCTCTCATACTGAGCCATCTCTCCAGCCCCTAAAGTCCCTTGAATTTCTAATACTATAACTAGCATTAGACAGGATCTCCACAAGGGAAACCTTTTTGAAGCCCTCAGTAATTTGAAGGACTACCAAAACCATTCAGGGACTGCTTCGCTAGAAGACTGTGTTATTCTGGGAGGGTAAGAGGGAAGCAGGAAGTAGGGAGCCCTAGGAAAGGCTTTGACTCTGAAAAACTCCTCTAGACATATGGCTAGCTTTGTCTATTACCACCATGCCCAACCCTCCAATGAAATGCCTGGTCCATGTGGGCATAGATTATGTGCTGATACTAGGGGTTCATGGGAAACCCACACCCACAGCTGGTATCTTGGGAAAAAAAAATATCAACCTGAGGACCTTAAGCTTTCTGCCAGAGAGAGCTCCAACCATGGGGACAAGGACCCAGGAAACTGCCTTCCCATATTTTCTGTTACTGTAACACAATACCTGAGTCTGTGAAATGTATAAAGTGGTTTATATTTAGCTCAGGATTCCAGGGACTGGGGAGTTCAATGCAGGTTGGTCACACTTGGAGATGGCCTCATGCTTTGTTGGGGATGCTACAGATAGCACCGAACATTCATTCTCCCCAGCACAGGTTGTTACAGCATGAGCACGTGTAGAAAAGGCACTGACCTTCGTTACGGTGTTTTATAGTGGTGATGGGAAAGTAACTAAGTCATTAGGGTTTCTGGGGACCTGGACTCCTAGCCTTCAGTGGCTGCAGGGCAAGCATTTTAACCAGGCCACCGCCCAGCTTCTATCACTGTATCACTGCTACTTTAAATCTGTCGCTGTGTACTCAGGCTTGCATGCACAGGCACCCGAACTCTCCACTGGGCTTGCACACTTGCTTCTTTCTTCCTGCCCAGTGAGACTCTATCTTGCACTCAATTACCAAATAGGCACAAGGGTTCTTTCCTGACACAGACTATGAAAATTCCTTTACACCTGAAGACAATTAGGCTCCACGGAAACTTCCGAATGTCAGGTACTAGGCTGCCCTTGGGCGACTCAGTAATTCAAACATCTGAGGCTGTCGGGGGTTTTGTTTCTCCAGCTGCTTTCCCCAAACCAGGCTCCTAGAGGTCTGTGTTTGTTGCTCAACCCCAGCTGTGCTTCCCAGAAGGCCAATACCATAGTTCATATTGTCATGACTCTCAGTCATCAAATAGGCATCCCATTCGCCATGATCCCAAATTTCTAGATACTTTCTCCTAAATCTCCCAACTACTCCAGTGACGGCAGCTTCTCAGTGCCCTCCCCAATCCTGCCACCACTCAGCTTCTTCTTGGCCTGTCTTCTTAGCCTGGATCCAGTTCTCAGATCCAAAAATCCCCGCCCTCCATAAGGCCCCCCAAAATAACAAGTAGTTGGTGAAGAGAAAGAGAAACCGGAACATTCGTGCTTTGCTATTAGGAGAATAAACTGGCCTGGCCACTGCATAAAATGACATAGCAGTTTCTAAACAAACAAACAAACAAACAAACAAATAAACAAACCCAAGTGCAGACTCATAAGATCCAGCAATTCCATGTCTGGATAGACAGCCAGGAGGACTGGTGGCTCTTGCAGAGGGCTCAGGCTCTATTCCCAGCACCCACACGGTGGCTCAAAACCACTACCAAACCGAGTTCTGGGGGATCCAATCCCCCTTTCCAGGCACACGACACACATGTACGCAAAACACCCATACACATAAAATTAAAACAAAAAAAAAATATTTTTTTAAGGGTGGAAGCTACCCAAGTGCCCATGGACGAAAGAACAGATAAGAAAACAGAGTATTTCAGCCTTCATAAAGAAGGAAATTCTGGCAAGTGCCAAACAGGGCGAATCTTCAGAACACTAATTTGAACGCAATAAGCTAGCCGTGGAAAAGCCAAAGACCCATTTCTGCGAGGTCCCTGCAGTGGTAAACACAGACCAGCAGAGTGAGGGCTGCCCAGCGACGGGCAGGGCATTGTGAGACTACTGCTTAACAGACGTGGAGTTTCCGCTTTGCCAGATGAGATCTGGAGACTGGTTGCGTGGTCTGAAGGAACTTTACGCTTCCTGAGAGGGGCTGGGCTGTGGCTGCAAGTGTCCGCCTCAGCCCCAGACCGAAGCACCAAGGAAGTTAAACTCATAAATTTTATGTCACGCTTGAAAAAAGAAAGTGAGACCCAGGCCAGCAAACACACATGTATCATCAAAGCCAGAGTCAGGTGATCTCTGAGTTCATGGCCGGCCTGGTCTACAGATCGAGTTCCAAGAGAGCCAGGGCTCCACAGAGAAACCCTGTCTCGAAAAACAAAGAAACATTCAATGGAGCAGGAAGAAGAATGTCTGGTTTCCCAACCCCTGCTTTTTATACTAGGTTGTTAACATTCACTTTTCTCTAACAGACAAGGCCTTACTACTTGTCCCTGCTGGTCCTAAACTCCTGGGCTTAAAAATCCTCCTGCCTCAGCTTCTTAAGAAGCTGGGATAAAGTTGTGTGTCACTATGCTTGGTTCAGTGATGGAGTAAATTTCTTCAAGATCACTGTCAGAGAAAGCTTGGGATCTTTCAACCTATTTACAAGCTTTTGCTGTCTAGGGAAAACTGATGTTGGCTCTCAATGACCCTGTGTTTTTGTTTTCT